TTGTTTTCTTTGCACGTAGTTTGTTGTTGTGCGTAGCTAGCGACCCACGCCGTCTTCACTAAGCTGGCCGGTCGCTTTGTTAGTTTTTGTCATCTCCTTTTTGTGCGGTAGTTTGTTTTGACGTGTGTGGTTGTTGGTAGGCGTTTGACCAACAGCCACTGTAGGTATACATATGTATGTACGTATGTACACACGCACATACATATTGTAATTACAAAAAGTGGAGGTGACAATACGTCTTCGCTCAATAACGAAAGTTTAAGATCTAGACGTCGTTTAAAATTACCGAACTACTGTGTGGTGGAAAAACGTAAACGCTTGCGACATTCGCGCAATTGGCTTTAGGATTCTTTGAGGGAAAGTATTTTTTCGAGAAATCTAGGGTCCTCTGTGGCGCCGTTCTGGTTTTGTTGTCCGAATTGATCAGCCAATGTACTTGCTGAAGTGGAGGCAGACGAGGATGAAATCCTGAACTCTCTTAGAAATATCAAGTGTCTCTGTTTGGCGCAAACCAGCGTAAGCGATGCTTAAAAAAGGAAAGTTTAAATTAAATTCATCAAACTTCGGAATCGCCCAAGACAGCGCTTCTTCCTTTCTTTTGAGAAAAAAAAATTGCGGCAACCTCTTACCGAAATTAATACCCAGAAAGCAGACATGTATATACCCATACATACATATATATGTGGCCTGACAAAGTAAGCAAACAAATTGGACGTTTGGTTGGACAAACATCCATACCAAAAATCACATCACACACGCTGACTGGTAGGCGCGTCAACATTTACACTTTGGTTTTGGCCAGGCATTCCCTTCGTTCGTTTGATCGTTCGTTTGTTCGTTAGACATGACTTGGCCGCCGTTTCGTGCGGTCGTATACTGGATATTGGGGTTCATTGTTTAATTACCTCTTGGCAGCAGTCCATTTTCAATTATTCTCGCCTCCAAGAGTAGACGCGGCAACAGTAAACACATTGCAATCACGATATGCACAAAAGCAGCCGTCGGGCCACCATGCGTCCACAATGCTCGCAAAGTGCCGCCGCGTGCCTCCTCCTCGAGTCCGTCATGTGGTGACATGGAGCAGCGACGCTCTTTCGAACCAGTCGCCAATTTGATGCCATCGTTTGCCAAGTTGCCAACCTGAAATTAAACAAACAAAAGGGAATATTTGCAATTAAAACTACCACATAGTACAACATGTTATAAAGGGGGGTAACAGAGGGTGGAGAACATACACAAGTAACAAGGTGAAAGGTAAAAGCTAAAAGGCGAGGATGAAGGTAATGATTGCTGTTGACAGCAAAGACCAGTGATGAAGTATTATGAATTCGTAATAAAGTTAACAAATATACTCAATCACACACACACACATACGCATACAAATTGGAAAACGAGTTCTTTATTTGTGTGTCCGCTGCTGCTGCAATGATCGTTTTCTGCCATAAACAGCTAACGGTAAGTAGTAGGCAAAAATACTAGTTCTGAACCAGTGTGAAATAGCTCACCATACCCGTTTTAGTGTGATATTATCTCACCTTTTCTGCACTCTTTTTTCAGGTACGCTCTCTTTCAGTGCTGATTTTGACCACATTTTTCATATAGTCACGTCCTCACGTTAGTTAGAGGCTATAACCGGAGTTCGAGGTGGGATACGAAACCTAGATGGAGATAGCATCTGGTTTATTTCTAAGAGGCGAGGGATAATTCAAAAATGATAAACAAACTAGTATTTCACTAGATCCAAACGACAGTGGGGACCATTGACATTTTCAAATAGCAATCGGAAAATGGTATACGAACCAGTAGTTTCATGGTTGGTTTGTATTATACATATTACTGGGAAATATATTTACATATGTGAACATAATTAACATTATTAAATGAAGAAAGTAATAATGCCATGTTCGATAGAGTACATACTTGTATTTATTTGAACAATATGTGGTTTCAACAAGACGATGCCACATGTTATACAGCCCGTGAAACTCTTCTATTACTGCTTGAGATATTTCCACGTCATGTACTCTCATTTTGGTGATCAGATTGGGTTCCTTGGATCGTTTGATTTGATGTCATTAGACTACTTTCAATGAGATTATTTGAAATCGCAAACCCATGGTAAAGGAGCCACTATCACGCACGCTTTAGAAAAGGAGGTGCAATGTTGCAACGATGAATAGGCATGGACAATTTCGACAAACGAATGCATATTTGTATGGAAAGCCGTGAAGGGCGTTTGTTCGATGTGTTATTCCATAAACAACCCTATCTTATGTGCTTTCTGATTCAATAAAAAAACTGAAATCGAAAGACTAAAAATTTTGTTTTCTGTTTAAAATCCAATTTTGCATTAATTTTTGGGTTACACTTATGTATGTGTGTATAGTCACAAATTTGATACAATTTTTAGATTCCTTTTTGTCGGCTTTATGGCTCAAAACATCAAGTCTGAAAAATCGGTCGCACATGAGCTTCATATGATCTAATCTTGCTCGTGCATTGGATCGCTCACATTTACTAGTTCATCTGTGCCAAGTTTTGGTTGGAGACAAGTGTGCATATAAACGGACAAACTGACTATCAACCCGACATTCTTAAACGATCTAGAGTTTATCTCTTCTCTTTCTGGTACTTAAATACTTCGGATCAAAGTAAGTATACTATTTCATGTTCATGAAAGATATAAAAATATTCTTACATATAATATAATTTGTCTAACTGCGGTGACCTTTCGGCAGGAAATGACATAAAATTTAAGATCCTTGGAAATTATGATTCTGCCGTTCGAAGGCGGCTTAAAATAAATTGTGGGTCTCTTCATTTGTTGGAGAAACATGAAGACGCACACCACTAATTGGCGGAGAAGCTTAGGCAAAAACTGATTTAACTATTGTGAGGAGCCAAGCTAACTATAAATATAAAATAATATAAAATATATATGTATTTAAATAATATAAACTAAAATGTAATGGCTTGTGATTAGCACTTATTTTTCGATTCAGCCTCACATACAAAGTTTTAGTGTTTTACCAGAAATACTTTTAGAGATATTCAAAAAGAATTTTTGTTAATATCTTGATTTATTGCTCTTACTCATATCGCTCGGAATCCCTTGCAGCTCTTAGTTTCATTCAAAAATGGAAAAAATCACAGTCTCAGTTCCACTGTGAGGGTAAAGCTTAATATAGGCTACAGTTTCAGGCAGAAAAGAGTTCCTGTCTGAGTCATCGTCTACAACCCACAAAGCATGGCTCTACTCCGAAATCCTATTACGGTCTTCGTTCCAATACGTAATACTTAGCTTCCCTGACAGACCTAGCACAAGACTAAATGTTGGTCTTAATGACAATATTAATCTTTACTTTAATCTGAAACATTGGTAGTGGTTTAGTCAATCACAATCCTAGTTCTCCGTCTTTAAAACTTTAAAACTAAGTTTAGTTTTGGTGCCAGTTTCGATTATTATCGCAGAAACCAGAAAAATCACCACATCATTCGCAATCAGAATCACTGTCTGGCTACAGATCAAGTCTCAATTCAGTTTCAATTTAAACATGAATACAGTAATGATCTCTTTCTCTCATCCTGCGCCGACAGTTGCAATCTTGATCTAAATCGTTTTTAGCATCAGTCTCGCTCTTGAACTTAGTCACAAACCTTTCACTGGCATGAGTCTTATAATTAATAACAATCTAAAATAATAATATTATTTCTTCGTCTCGGTCTAAACCCCAGTTATTGTATAATTGCAAGTTTCAGTCACATCATCAGTGCTATTCCCAGTTGGTCTCTCTCTCAAAACCTTACAGGTGCTGAAAATCTCAGTCCTTGTATCAGTTGCAATCTCAATCTTAGCTACCGTTCCAGTTTCAATTTCTAAAGTTGAACCATCCAAGTCTCAACCCTTATCTCTCCATTCTAATCGCCAATTCAACCCCGATTTATATTTGAGTTGTAGTTTCAATGTCAGTTTTAATTTCAGTCTCTTCAGCGCAAGTCTCAGACCTAGGCTTTAATTTCAGTCTCTTCAGAGCTTTGTTTCAGTTGCGGCCGAGTCTCGTGTATGACCTAATTCCAGTCACAGTCTCAATATCTGTGTGTCCCTCCGTCTTCGAACTAAATATAAGTCTCAGTTTTCGCTCAACCTTATTGTCAGTCTGCTTGACCGAATAATACCCAAGTTCGATTTGATATTGCGAGTCTAATTGAAATTCTTAACCACAAATAAAATTATTTTGAGTATTCCCCAACTTCATTATTTTTTTTACTTATTAGATTCAGTATCAAAGCAATAAAGCGCAGTGTCACATACCAACGAGTTGTAAATAGAAGTGTCCTTGCGATGGTATTTTATAAAATGTTAGTAAATTCCAAGAAAATGGATTCGAAAAGATTTGCATATGTTGGTGTATGTATATGTGTATGTCAAGTGTGGTATTAGAAAGAAGAAGAAGTGGAATTTCCTGATATCATTGAAAGTGGAATTCCAATGTAAAAAAGAATTTAGATTGTCGGATTAGTTGACAAAGGTTGAAAGTTGAAGAAGTGCAAGGTGCTTAGCGAAGGAGTTAAGAAGTATTCTAATTGTATGAATAGACTTTGGCTAGAAACAAAATATATGCTTTGAACCTAGGAAACGGGAGAAGTCTTGTGTAAGGTGCGGTAATCAGCCCATGCCACGGCTTAAACAGAAGCTTCAATGGAGTCACTCCCACATATTCGACTCAAGGGGTACAATTGCAGTGTGTGTTCACCTGTGGGCGGGAGTCGGTCTCATATTAAACTTAGCGAGGTTGTAGGCTGGGTTTGCGACCCGACACCTACAAACCAACTCCAATAAAAAGGAGACAAGAGTCTCGTATGATAGACCCAATTTTTGATCGACTACTGCAAACCTACTAGGGACTATGATTTAAGGTAATGCACCTGAAATGTTCGAATACTTTAATAGATGGTTACCAACGAACAAAAACCAAATTCTAAAAGTTACCTAATAGTTCCCGTTGTGTAAAATGGGACATCCGATGAGCACGCGTTATAAGTTTTCTAGAGAAATGTTTTGCGGAAGATTTATTTTGTTTTGCATGTGGACAACAGCGAATACCGTAGTCGATGGAAAGATGAGGTGTATGAGATGTAAGGTGTCATTGATATCATTCGGATGAATGGAAGGATTTCAGCTTCGAAAGTATTCGATGCAGCAGCCGCCGATTAAAGTAGGGCACGAAGAAGCTTGCACCCTCACCTTATACAATGAAAGCTTCAGATTTAAATAAAAAAAAAATAAGTCTTCATAGAACACATCAAATAGAGGCTGGTTATGCACTAGTATGTAATGAAAGCTTTCATCCACACGATATACAATGAAAGCTCCAACTGTTGAATTCATTTGCATTTTTAAGTTAAGCTTTCATAGGACAGATCAGAAAAGAGGTTATACATTACAATTAATGGAAGCTTCCACCCTCATCATACACAATGAAAGCTCCAACTGTTGAAATCATTTTAATTTTAAAACGAAGATTTCTTAGGACAGATCAGAATATAGTTTATATACTAAAATGTAATAAAAGCTTTCACTCAGACTATATCAAATGGCCACTTTTCTACCTTTTTTCACAATTTAATGAAGGACCATTTTATGCACCCTTCAGATTTTAAGCTCATGTATATGCATACATGTAATTATACATATATGGACTGTTTGAGCAGCTTTTTCATTTAAGTACTCCGTATTAGTTTTTCTTAAATTTTATTTTTTATTTTTATTTAATTTATTTTTGTGTTTTTTTTTTTGTTTTTCCATAGAAGTAGATACGCAAACAAGTCCAGCAAACTAAAAACTTTAAGCGCACAGACATGCAAATAAAAGTACTTCAAAATTAAATAGGGAAAAATAAAACTGTTTAATACTTTGGTGATTTCTCAATGCCCACACATACATACATATTATATTACTTGGCTAAGCTTCCTGCCACATATTTGCTTTGCAAATGCTTACCACGCATACACTCAGCCCACCTACCCACCTGTGCAGGACCCACTTATATTTTATGAAGCGAAAAAGTAGTGCAAGAACAAAAAGAAAAAAATTCTATGAAAAAAAAAAAAATAGAAGAAACATCTAAATGCGTACGTAT